ACTTACCATATATACGCGTGTATAAGCGCATTTCATGTATAGTGCGATTTCTAAATTTTTCCGTGAAAAATTTGATTTTTTTCATATAGCTTGTGTATAATGCGTCCCCAGGTTCTAAGCAACACTAGTGGATCTATCGTAAATCAACTATTATAGGGCATCATTCGGGACCTATTTTATAGCAAATAAATGGTTTTTATTCTTTTTTGTACAAAGACATCCCAAAATGGTGAGAAAAACCACTTACTGAAATTACCTGATATGAATATTTAGATACTGTAAAAATCTGCCTCGTCAGTCATGTATCAAAAGACACATGATCGCCTAAGCGTGTATCACGCATGGCACATAACTGACTGACAATACTTTAGTTTTCATTCATGCCTGACTACAGTAGCTCTTTTACCCTGGACTTACATACAAATTTACTGGGAGATATTATTAGACATTTATTATAGGTCATTATACTAGTACTACAGGTACCATATACCCTAGTACTACCTACCACATAATCGGTCATCGGCAACTAAACTGGTTCCCCAGCAATTGAAGGTTTGAGCGTGCCGGCCTTGATCAAATTGATCACACTAAATAACATGCTCTTTCCCAGAAACTGTAGCTAAGATATGCTCAGCATAGTTGTAGTATAAATCACAGGTGGGCTCTGTGGGTGTTGAATAAACACAAATGTGCCTGAGCAAGCGTCTGCAATTGGGATTAGTTAGCCACCCTAGTAGACAGGTATCCTCAAATACGAGTGGTCAGTTATACATACATACATACATACAACACAATGGAGTAGACAGGCCTCTATAGCTATGGATGCAGCTAGTGTATTCTTCAAGTTTCATCTTGTCTTTCTTTTAGGCAATTGTCTGGACTTCTGAGAGAAACTATCTATAGGTTCATTCTACAGGGTGTCCTAAAATCTGGACACACAGGCAAAAATGCATATTTTCAAGAAATTAAATTTTCAGCAAAAAATTATTGGATTGAAATATTAACAAATAACACCTCAATATGATTTCCATTATTTGTAATGCAAAGGTTGATGTGCTTTACAAGATTCAGATGAACTCAATGCAATAACTTCACATTGCCATCAATTTTAACATATTTACTCTTTATGCATTCAATCAAGTGCATTGCATCTGTGATTTTCATTGAGTACACCTTCTCCTTTACCCCCAGAAAAAGATGTCAATTCTTTCTTCTTTCAACAAAACCATGTTTAATCTGTGAAGGTAAAAGAAATATAGTTAATAATATTTCCTATGTGTTTAGACTTTAGGGACACCCTGTACTTCTTTGTACAAACTTCATGCTTTCAAACCTTGGATCAGATTGTAGTATCCATTCAATCCACAGCGCTTCTAAACTAAAATCTGTTGCATCTTCTGACAGAGAAGCCTGCATAATCATAGTATGTGGGAAGGAATTAAGAAAACAAAAGTGTTTTAATACTCATATAAGCTCATAGTTTCTGGTTAATAATATTGAAAGGAAAACACTGGAACAAAAGATTATTGAAGAAATGGTCTCATGAGAGACATGGATTAATAATACAATAATAGCAAATACCCCAGTTCAGGGTGGCAATGCAGACAGCTCAATGCTACACCTTGTGACCCTGTTACTATGAGCAGATGTACTACTCATAGTGAATGAGTGAGTTTATGTTCAACAATTAGTAAGGGTGTTCCAATAACTTGGACAGATTTTAAATGTGAATTAAGTTTTAAGCATCTAATGATTTTTTTTATCTTTTTTTCAGATTTAACAATTTAAGTTTTTGTTAATCTTTCCATGGTTGAAATTGCCAATCAAACGTTTTAAAGTTATCGAAGCCTATTATGAAAATGGACGTTCAAACAGAATTTGAATGAGAAGTTCCTAGGTCACATAATCTCTCAAAACAGCGAAGTCAATTGACCACCACGATCGTGCAACTTGATGCTTTTAGGTTTCATTCTTTGGGGTCATTTCAAAAGTAAGGTCTATGCCAAAAAGCCAACAACAATTAAACAGCTGAAGGATGAGATAATAAGGCATATTGGTGAGATACAGGAGCAACTATACAGAGACGTCATCAAAAATTTTGACCATCAAGTGGAGGTGTGCTGCCAAAGCTTTGGCGGACATTTGGGCACATAATTGCCATGATTTAAATAACATGATCCAATAGAGAAATAACTAAATTTTCAACAATAACACTAATTTATTGACTGTTGACTTTGATCCGTCTTAATGAAACACCCTTTATAAAGAAGGTTGGTAGTTTTTCTACATAACTAAAAGAGAGAAAGCATGTAACTGATCAAAAACAGTAAGAAAGCTCATGAAAAATAAGAAAAATAAAATTAAAAAATAAATAATCTAAACAGAGAGAGGGAGGGTGAAGGAATAAAGATGAAAATGATTAAAGAGAGAGAGGGTTACTGGATGAATATAAAGAAACAATGGGTAAAAAAAAAAAAGAATTAAAAAGTGTAATCCTTACAATACATGAAAATTATTAATGGATAGAGTAAAAGAAAGGTTAAAATGAGAATGCAAGAGAAAATATTTTTTACATTCCTTATTTGCATATGAAACTTGTCAATGTTTGTATAACACAAAGATGGATAAATCATGGTCAAGCAAGGCTGGTGGAAAGGGATAAGATAGACATGAGATAATGGATAATCGTAATTGTCAATACCAGCAGAATTTCCAAAGGCCCAGCTAATTTCCATTATTGTAAACCAGAATTGATAATTTTATTTTTGGTTTTGAGATAAGCAACAGGTGTTATTATAGATGTTATAGACCCAATCTTTTAGCCAAGTACCTCCTGTTCATTTTCAGATGTGTTGATTATTTTTAGCTGCTATAGGATGTGTTGATTTATTGCATTATTTGGTCCCTTTAATACCATTTCTTGTCCATTCTGAACCAGAATTTACTGATTTAGAGATTGCATTCATAACCATGACAGCAAAGACTCAGTTAACAAATGCCTTTGTTCTAAAGAATGTCAGTGACGAGTTTCTTAAAGTCTTTCTATCCAATGTCAAATGGTGTCCACAATTTCATCAATATGGTGGATTAATACCAATTGTTTGAGAAATTTTTTTTCAATATTTGAAATGCAGAATCAACAATATACTTTGACTTAGTCAATTCAACCTATTGCTCTAATCTTCATTATATGTCTATATTTCTGAGATGAGGTATTATGTACATTATTTACATTATTCGAACTATTGTCCTCACCTTTGTCGCCATATTTATTACAAGGACACATGGCATAGTGGATAAAGGTGTTAGTTAGATCCAGTGACAGGACCCAAAGTGTGGGAGTTCAATACCTGGTTAAGGCAGTGGAGAACTTTCAGAAGGAAATTAACAGGAGATAACTGATAACTGACATCCATTAAACATGGCATGTGGAACTAGAACAGTCTACTCCAGTAAGCGAAATAAAGGGTTCAGTTCGACATTACTTTCGGCCTTGTGCCACATCCATGTTTGGAAGATCAATATCTGGTCACCTCAAGGTGGTGTAATGGTTAGCAAGCTTGTTTGGCTAGAACAATTATGACTTAGTAGTGAGTTCAGTCCTCGCTGGGTGCCCCCACTTTTGGCCTTGTGCCACATCTAAGCTACACTTGGAAAATCGCTTCTCGAAGTCTTTAAATCCAATGCCATATGGTTTCAACAATTTGGTTAATATGGTGGATTCATACTATTTGTTTGAGAAGTTCTGAGAAGGAATTATCAATATCCTTTGACATGTTTTTATTTATTTGAACTATTCTCATTTTGATTACTATATAGGTTATTATAGACACAATGTTTCAGCAAAATACCCCCTAATCTTCCTCAAGTATCTATTATTTTTAGATTATTAATTATTCGATTTATTCAAACAACAGCTCTCATCTTGGCTATTACAGATATCATTATAGATGTTTCAACCAAGTTGCCAAAAGAATACAATATAAGGTGACTCATTTACATATGAAGTCACACAGACTATAACTAGCTACAGCTGTTACCCATGAGGCAGTTGAGTGTATACTACTTCCTGTGAAGTCAGGAAGTAATAAATAACAATTTATAGAATAAAATTCCAAACAAGCCTACAGTATGCAGTCCTGGCATTACTGCAAAGTATTAAAAGACTTGTAAAAGACCACCAGATGCAACAGACCCAACAGTTCTTCAGTTGATTTAAATCATTTTGTTTAGTGACATATCAACACCTCTATGGGTTATTTAATGCCAAAATCTAAATATTTTGTAGATAATTTTATAGCTTCAAGGTAAAATCTATGTTTTTTTTTTAAATATATACTTTTTTGATCCCAAAACGTATTGCTGGTAATTTCACTACAAAAATGTATTACTGGTAATTTTACTATAAAAATGTATTGATTTTTTTTTTTGGGGGGGGGGAGGCACTATTTGCCCATAGCTGGAACCCTAGCAAGTACTACTACCCTGGGTCGGGGAACAGCAATTAAGAGGTGGTTCCACTCTCCTTAAAACCTCCAATCTTCCAACCAGAGGCCTTGCCGCTAGATGTAGTTTATCGTCCGACTCAAGGTAACAGTTCTTTAGTACTACATTAGTTATTTTCAGATGAACCAAACTAACATACCTTTATTTCCCTCCACTATTTTAAAACAATTATTCTCAAACAAAAAACAAAAACAATATTTTAAGATCAATTATTTTAATTGCTTTTTGGCTAAAAATAAAGTTTATAAACCGGATATTAAAACAGGCATAATTTATCAATTTTCTCTTCAAATGAATAAAGCACTTTGACCTATTCATAGCATATCTGTACCCAGCCGCCTGGATTCTCCCCAGTTACAATGCAGGGTCAAATAAGCTATTTTATAGTCATCAACATGACTATTTTCTCATATTCTAACAGTCTACAAAGAATATATAAAGTTATTTTCATATCCGTTTCCAAGATTTTAATTATTTAATTATTCACATCATTTTGAAACACCGATTCCCGTAGGATCACTGAAGTTAAGCAACGTTGAACCTGGTTAATACTTAAATGCGTGAGCTCTTGGGAATACCAGATTCTGTATCTTTGGATGTGCAGGTGGTGCAATGGATAATGGCTTGGAATTGTTAATTGGAGAGCCAAGTTCCAATTCCATTTGGCGTTGTTATATTCACTTACATGCAAATAACCTTGGGAAAAGCATGAATCCACCTCTTCTCCCCCCAGCTTTGAGTTAATTAGTAAGACATGTCTCACTAAACTATTATTATATCCAAAAATAAAATAAATAAAACTGCATGCAAAATATTTAGATTTCTGCATTAAATAACGTATAATGGTTGATATGCCCTAAACAAAAATAACCAACAAATTCGGAAAACATGCAATTTTGATAATTATATATCATTATTATACTAAGTATTGTTTAAGCAAGATTTTTATAAAAGAAAAAAAAAAAACATTTTAATGAATTCATTTTACAGCATTCTTCAAGTAGAAAATCCTTATCATAAATAACATTTATAATTTTCATAAGTGTCATTATCATTTCAAGAGTTTTTCAAATAATGACTTACTTTTTGCCACTTTTGTTACCAACAACTTAACCGTTTTTATAAGGAATTATCCAGATACATATGTGCTTTCTCAGAGGAAAATATAGTACTTTAACAGTAACAAAATAAAGCCTCCTTATTCTTTCCTATGTTTGAATAATTATTTTCAAATTACAAGAAATTCAATTTTAGTATATACTACATTTGAATAGTCTGTCTGAATCCCGCTCGGTAGATGCCCGGAACACCTGCCCAAATCCAGCTCAGTAGATAGTCGAAGCGTCTGTCCAAATCCCACTGTAGGTCAGGAGCATGACTAACAAGCCTTTGATCCACAACTACTGGGAATCCTTTATTCCCAAGGTTGGTTACAGACCTCAAGCTATATCACCAAACTTGGCCGAGAGGTTTCCCCACCCACAGAGGCGAAGTCCTTATTGTTCCCTCCATTGTAGAGTGTATACTCCCAGACATTTAAGGGCATCACAGACAAGTGATCACTTCACCTCATGTTGCTTTCTACTATCTGTGCTCCTAAGAAATGCATGTGAAAAATTAACCTCGCAGATTAGGGCACTAGTGAGCGAGGCAAAAGTCTTGTTCATTCCCAATAATGGTAATTAACTTTCCTTTGAGACCACTCCATTTCTTTTGTCCATGACGTGCTTCATTGATATTTTAACCCAGCTGTTTCCAAATGTTTCCGTAAGACTACATCATATATTTGACATGGGCCAAAGAAAAAATTTGTAAATTAACAAGTTTTATGTGGATTTTTTTTTTTCAGAATCAGCAAGATATGATTCAGGAGAAAAGAAAAATGCATCGAAATGCAAAGAAACAATTTCACACAGAATTAAAATCTAAAGAGTAAAAAAAGCATTGAACCTCTCAAGTAAATGATTTAACAAAATTATCAAATGACTAAAATGTAGATGACAAAAAATGCTGGCTATTCATTCCAAGATTTCAAATTGCTTTTCATAATCCTATTCTGTCTCAGGCCACCAATAAACAATACAGATCAGAAATAAAGAATAAGATCTTAATATCTGTTGTAATTTTTTTTTTATTGAAAAGCTGTTAGTCTTTGATAATGTATACATTAAGGAATGCTACATATAGCAATTCAGAAATAAAATACAATTGGTTGAATGAGAAGAGACAAAGATTAGAATGCATGGTGATGCTGAAAATAAAGTATGTAAATGTGAGTGAAAAGCATAAGTGTAAAATTTTAAATTTATTTAGGGACTAGCAGCATGGCCCGGCATTGCCCGTGCTTGATTCAAAAATCGTATGACTCATACAGCAATCGCTATCACTTGACTTAAAATATTTTTGCCCTTGCTTGCCTTTAAAGGAGTGCCCTTTGCCGTGCTGATGTTACTACATGCCTTACTTCTTGCAAATTTTTTCTAAGCTCTATACTAAACATTAAATCTGTTACGAAAAAAGAACTAAACAAAATGAACACAAAATGATCAGCTTTAAAAAAGGACTCGTAACTGGAAAAAATGAATGAAAAAAGAATGTTAACAACAAATACTTTTTCACACCCAACCCAATTCTGCAGAATCAGAATCAACGTTGAGTTTAAGCAAGCGAATAGAGCCAATTGGAGTAAAGTGCCATACAGATTTAAATTTTTCCCACTTGTGACGAATGCAGCTATCAATTTTTTTTGCATGCTAGCATGCTAGTTAACATTCATGTCAGTCAGCTGTTGGCTTTCACGCTGGCCAATAGAATCTTCCTGCCTATTCATGGCAGCCAGCTATAGGCTTTCACTCTGGCCAGTACAAAATGGCCGCAAACTACATGAAAACTGCTGTAGAAGCATGAAAAAATCAATTATTTCCACTATCGATGGAAGTTGGGAAATGCAAAGTCGGTCTTGGCCTCGCCGCTAACTTGGAGCATGTGCATGTAAATTTTGTTGCAAATCCGTCGAAAATTGCAGCCGTGCATTCGTTACACACACACACACACACCCTGCCTTTTATAGATAGAGATATGAAAAGTCGATGAGTACTTAGTGTGACTCCTACTGGTACAAACCACAGCTTCAATTTGATATAAGAGGAGAATAATACAAATTCAAAATAGTTTCATTAGCATTATTTACATCATTGAGAAATTTATTTTTTTGCTGGCAAGATGCTCTATTTGGAATATTTCATTTTCTGATATATCTGGTAAGAGAAGAGACATTAGCAAAGTAATTTCCTACCATTAAGTGTTCAATAGACTTTTACCAACTTTCTTGCACTACTGATTTTAACATATCTTGAAACCATTATAGTCACAATTGGTTTGTGTAGTCTTCATGTTGAACCATTTCTTTTATTAAAAGGTTTTTGGACATAAGCAACTATTTGTGTATAATACACTCCTAAATTTTGGCAACAAAATTTGAGAGGAAAAAAAAAAATCCTTATCTACAATACACATTAGAATTTCTAGCATCTAAATTGAATATCTATTTAAATTTTATCCACATTGTATTGCCTAAAAATAAAAATTTATACTGTTTATATTAACTCCTGAAACAAAATTTACAGTATTTAGAACAAATCCACAGATATGTTCGTACAAAATGACAACAAGTCTATGACAAAAATAAGCTCAGACTAAGAGAAACGAAATTATAAACAAACACACATTCAAGTCACTACTGACCGATTCTCTGAAATCGTGTAAAATAGAAGTAGATATTGCAACTAGGAGGCTTACAGACATAGATACATATATACGGCCATATCATGTTGAAAGTATCACTGAAATTAAACAATATTCAGCTTGGTTAATACTTACAAATACTAAAACTGCTTGACAATACCAGATGCTGTAAGCTTGGATGTGCGACTGGCGTAAATGCTCAGAATTGGAAATCGAAGATTAGATTTCTAATTCCAGTTAGATTTGTTATATTCACTTACACACAAATACCCTTGGGAAAGGTATGAATCCACCTCTTCTACTTCTAATTAACCCAGTATGGATTAATTAGAAGTAGTCGTAGAAGAGGTGAGTTCATACTTGTATCAGTAAATCTTTATCTCCAAAAATTTCTTACAATCTAAAAATATTTTCTGGCTTTAAGTAAACTGCAAAGGGTTGATAAGCCATAAAAATCAATCAATTAATCGATACTACTAGAAAACACTTCTTACACAGACAAAATTGGTAAAACTATCGTGATGCTTTTTTAAAAAATCAGTATCACACCATGCAAGGCAGTAAAACTACTAAAACACAGGGGGTTACAGAGTGTGAAAGAATTAACAGAAACATTAATAATGAGTGGGAAGAGGAAAGAGTAATCAGGAGAACATTAGACAGCAATTGACATTGCATTTAAATTTTTGTAGTTTAACGTTGGCTGGAAAGCAAGGAGCTGGAAGGATGTTCCACAAACAAGAAGTGCGAGAAAAGAAACTGTTAGCATAGAACTTACGGCATCTCAACTGTAAATTGACGAGATCTCGACACTAGTCTAGTACTGCGATTAACTCAAAAAGTCTAGTGAATTAACAATTACTATGAAAGCATTTATAAAAAAAAACACAGAGGCAACCTTACAATGATGGGAAAGTGACTGAACCTGAGCTACCAGATCGAGACCAGTAATATTGCTGATTCTTCTTTGGATCTTATGAATGAGCTCAAGGTAAATAGCAGTGGCACCAGACCATATGTGGCAGCAATATTCTAAGCATGGATAAATGGTAGACTTATAGATATGTAAGATAGATGCTGGAGAGAAAAATTATCTCGACTGACACAGTGAACCAACTTTCTTAGCAACTGACCTAGAGATGCATTCAATATAGTCTTTCCACCTCATGTCAGCTGAGAACATTAGCCTGAGAAGGCACAATGAGTCACTTTCCTGGAAGTTAGCATCAGCCATACTGATGGAAGGCAGAGAGGGCTTACTCAGATGATTAATCAAGAAAAGTTTAGTTTTTGAGGCACTAATATTAACAAGCCATTTTTTTTGTCCCAGTTAACGACAAATTTGAGGTTGTTTTAGGCATTGGCTGCCATTTTCACCTTGTGGGACCGATACAAAAAACAATAAAAGCCTATGACAGCTGTGTGAATAATTTAAAAAAAAAGAAAAGAAAAAAGTGTATGTTTGTTTAGTGCAGTGTTTCTCAACCATTTTTAATTCATGGTGCATTTGTAGAATAACTAAAACTGTGGTGCACTTTAAATTTTAATAAGGAAAAATAAGTCATGAAATTTTAAAATAAAGCACTCTCTTGAAATAAGCTTTTATTTTTAAGACATTACATCACATCTGATAGTTTTCATTTAAATGGACTTATGAAGAATCTATTATTTTTGAGAGACCAATAATGACAGGTTTAAATCTGCTGAGGAAGGCAAAATGGAAAGAATTATTCACCTCTTCTTAAAGATTAAAGAATTTAGCATCCAGTTTAAAATATCAAATGACAAAGACTTGATTTAGGCATGGAAGCCACATGCTTGGTGTATCAAGATTTTTAAAAA